ATAACTAAACACCACAATAATACTTATTACTCATTAATAATATACCCATATATATTTTATAAAGTGAATGAGTACTTATTACTTATTAATTTTACACATACATTAATTCTATCATTTTATATTTTTAATAAAATAATTTAAAACATTTTTCAAAATGTCAGTTTTTTAAAGAAGTTTTAACTGAGGCCAGGTATTTTGGGAAACATATGTCATATTTATGATTATTACCTAACTTAACTAACTTTTTAAATTTAATCAAAGTACTTAAATATGTCCTATATTAAAGAACGGAAGAGTATATAATCAAGGGGAAATGAAACAATTTGAGGGTTTGAGTAGCCCCAACTTAGCTCGGGTTTCACGTACCTGAGGCCAAATTAAGGGCGCACATGACGTATACTCGCTCAAAGATTCTCTATTAGTATTACTTAATTAAAAGAACATGCACTTGTTTTATGTACTTAAATATGTCCTATATTAAGAACGGAAGAGTATATAATCAAGGGGAAATGAAACAATTTGAGGGTTTGAGTAGCCCCAACTTAGCTCGGGTTTCACGTACCTGAGGCCAAATTAAGGGCGCACATGACGTATACTCGCTCAAAGATTCTCTATTAGTATTACTTAATTAAAAGAACATGCACTTGTTTTATGTATGGATTCTGATGCAAATTTCATTACTCGCTTTTCTCTCATGATCAACTGGCTGGTCGTGACTCATCATGACCTAGCTGGGGTGATCTTTACACGTAGGTAGCTAGCTAGGGTTCTTTAATATCTCTCTCCCAGATACATATATAGGCGTACATTATGAATTATTCATTATATTAATAAATATGGAAACTTGAGTTCAATCGTGAAACTAGAGATAGTTTTATTATGTTTAAGACAAACCAAAGAGGTAAAATATATGGTAATAAGCTTCTTGGAGTTTCAATCGAAAATAAAAGGTTGGCAGATTGTAGTTCTGTAGCATCTACATCTGGAAATATATGAACAAGCTAAGTGAGGCATGTATATGTGATACGATCAAATACTTCATCATTACTGAGCTGCATGTGACCCTTGTCAAGATATTTAGAATCTTGTCTTTTTTTAAAGTGGCCAACGTACCAAATATTCTCGAGAGTCGGGACAAACACACACACACGCTATAATATGATTATTTCTCCCTAAAAGCAGCACAACTCACGACCTAACACCCGATCGAATCCAGAAACCTCATCGTTTCATTTAAATTCCATCAGGCTCAGGAGAAAGCTATGTGCTTGGGGCTGCCTCTCCGCTCTTCACTTAACTCGATCTTGTATTACCTGAATTGTTGCTTCCAAGTTTTAATAATAGCGCCTTTCTGCACTTCTGACGACGCATTCTGATGAATCAACCGAAGCATAGAAAATTGCCTTAATTCCCTTCTGGACTATGTGTATAAACCAAAGCTTCCTTTTTTATTGCTTTTATTTGTTTTCATTATCTATTACGCACTGAAACCGAGCGCAAAACATGTCGGCTAATTAAACAAACGTATTTGTTGTTTGTCAAGGATGTTCTTGTTGCTTCAGTATGCTCAACTACTCACTAAACAAACTCTTAGTAATTAAACCGATGAATTTTGTTAAGAGCAATTTCAAGCCTAAATAGCTTTAATCAACTTAGGGGGTGTTTGTGAATTAGGAGAAGTGCTTTTAAAAAGCATTTTTTCACAAATCGAGATAAACTCCTCTACATATTTACTTCGTATACGTAAAATTACTTCTAAAATCATAGTTTAATTTTCATCCAAACACCCCCTTAATCCCTTAATTTACAAAGTACATAGTCAATAATAATTAATAAAGCATTATTTAAAGAAAAAAGTAGCACAAGAAGGTGCATATATAATTCATGTTGTTATTACTAGATCCGAGGTGTGGGAGAACATCAGCCATCAGGTTTTGGCGTTTTGGAGATAGACATGAACGCGCAAATGGTAATGGCTGAGCACGAAAATACGTGCATGGAATTTTGTGGGCAAATTGAGGAGTAAAATTAGATGTGCAGAAAACCAGGCAACTTGTTTCAAAAGATTTTGGAGGATCAAATTCGCAGTAGGTATTAGTATTACTCCTCCGGTTCTTAATATAGGACCTAATTATTGAGTTGGTTTTGATCCTAAATATAAGACTCATTTCTTATATTTATCAATTTTCTCTAAATTACCCCTATAGATATTCTCTAAACCATAATCAAGTAGAAGAGGGAGAAAGGTATTAAGAAAGATGATCATGGTGTTTTAGGAAAAACATGTCACATTTCTTATAATTAACTAACTTACCTAACTTCCTTAATCTAATCAAATTAGTCAAATGGGTCTTATATTAAGGACCGGAGGAGTATATATATATTATATGGCTGTGGGAAGCTTGTTTAGAGCTGTCATGGTTCAACGTACCCGCCACCATATTTTATATGGCACTTTTGTTAATTTTATAGCATATGTCTATCTGGAGAAAACTCTCACGCCTAACGTACTCCTACTTTATTCACTTGCACTGTTATGTATATCCTTTAAAGATTTCAACTTGTAGGGTAGGCCTCCCTTCCCTTCCCTGTCTACGTATAATCTACCACTTGCATTATTCTGGCTTTCTCCCATTTCCCTCTTTTGCCCTTGTATTCTCATTCCACTCACAACCTGTCCTCTTCAACTTCCCACAAATATGTTAATCTGCAAAGGGGTCCTTTTATTTTTTATTTTTCCTTTTCTTGTGGTGATCATATAATATATATCTAGTGAAAAAGTTCATGCATCCATCCATTAAAAATGTTTTCTAAGTTCATCAGACACACGTAATGCTTTTTCAGCATTATATATATTCTTTATATTTTAAAATTAATTCCTTTGTATATATGTATCTATTCGTACGTTAAAAGTAGCTTTCAGTTCCTATCAACAACAAAAAAAAAAAGTAGCTTTCAGTAATGGATGTGGTTATCACCGACTAGTAGAATATAAATGTAAATAACTGATGTAATTATATGTTAAACCACATATTAGTCTATGGCCAAAATAATAAAAATTTTGGCATCTTTTGAAAAGATGGACATTGTTGATAGAGATTCATGGGTTAAAACTTGTAGCCGGCGAGAGCACAAGAGTGACTAGTAGGGCGCAGAATCACTTGCCTGCTTTTGAAATAACTTTTGGTCCGTACACTACATCATCGTCACTTGAAGGAAGAGGGAGATCAATTAACCCTAATCCCAACATAATAAAACATAATTAATAATAATGATTCCCTGAATCCTGACGCTTTTAAAACATTACTCCCTCCGTTCCTTATTATAAGAGACGAATAACCGAATCGCGTTGATCAAAAAAACAGTTAAAATTAGTTAAGAACAATTAATGTGCAAAAAGTATAATTTTTTTTCCAAAAATGCCCTCATTAATAAGGAGAGAGAGCATGAGAGAGAACAATAGTAAATTCTTAAAAGAAAGAGAAGTGGGAAGGAGAGAGAGTGTGAGTTGGAGACAATAAATATGGGTAAAATAGGAAATTAACACACAAAAATAGAGACAACTTTTAAGTGTCTCTTATATTTAGGAACATATTATAAGCATCAAATGTCTCTTATAATAAGGAACGGAGGGAGTACTATTCAAGAAGGACATGGTATTTAAGGCACAAGAATATGGCGGCCTCTGTTTTTTTTCCCCCCAACTTGCCTCTCTTTGACTTGACTAACACCTTTAGTAGGATCCCAAAATTTGCATAAAACTTGAAAAATGTATTGTATTATTGGCAACCTGTAAATAATAGAATAAAAAACATAGAGAGTTCACCAAAAATATATACAAAAAACAGGGAATATATATAGATAAATAGAGAATGGGACAAGTTATGATAAAGGATTGAAGGTAGTTGAATTGGAAGCTTTTTCTTTTTCTTTCTTTCTTTGATTTTTTTTTTTTGGGGTGGTGATTGAGTCAGAGCAGGTCATACCGCGTGGGATTGACTATTGCATATATGTCATTTAATTTCTAAACCTATTATGAAAAACGAGGCCAAGGGATTCGGATACTGTATTTCTCACCGCTGAATTTCCCCTAACATAATCATTTATAGTGGTACCACCTAGTCTTCCCAGCACGTATCAGCCAATCAATATGTTGCTTCATAAAGTTTTTTCGTGTTAATACATTCTGATAATCTAGTTTTCATTGTTTTTCTAAGGCTGTGGGCTGATTTTTGTTTGGTTTCAGTGCCAGCTCTGCTCTTACTCTACAGGGTATTTGAACCATGGATTAAAGATATAGCTCAGAAATCAGAACTATGGATTATATTCAAATATACTGCTTATAGACTGGGAACATGAGCAGGCAGAGCAATCGCTGTCAAGATATATTTGGGAGAATCCATTTGTGCTCTGCCCTTTTGTTGGCTTTCTTTTGGAAAAGAATAGGAAATTGAAAACCCAATTGTGTCTCCTTTTTTCATGTTCATTTCCCCACAAGAGCATTCCTAAATCCCCTAACTCTGCCTACATCACATGTGAGGAGGAATCATTTTTCATGTCAATTTCAGTCATTCAAAATATACCAAAACGGTGTCTTCTCTTTCTATCTCTCACATATTTTCTAAAAGTTGGTCTTCGTAGTGTGTGGTGGATTAAGAATTCTATAGTTCAAGTGGCACCAGTGAAATTCCCTTCCTGCCTCTCTGCAGGACATAATCCCCCGGCCACTTTTTGGCACTACAAATTCACTCGCCCCGCTCCATTTCTCCAACATGCTAATTCCCTCAATTCTTATTATCTGTTACCTATTCGAAATTCCCAAAGATCTCATCTTTTCCCCGTCTACTTCTCTCTCCTTCGCAGAACAGAGCACTCTGTTTCCTATTTTTTCCCCGCCAACTCCTCTGTTGTAGCCTTGAGGTATTCTCTCAGGTTTGTTCTTACTACAACTAACGTGTGGTGTTCTGACCTCTCAGATTCAAGTTCTGTTAATCCATTCCATGGCTGCAATAATGTTCCGTGGGTTGCAGTCATGTTACGAGTCTCACCTCCTCGACTCGAGAGCAAGTACAACACTTAGGCTTACTTTGCCTTGCTCAAAAACTCTCACCCCTCCTACTCCTCAACCCATGGATTTTACCTTCAAATCTAGCTTCTGCGATTCAAATTCCAAAACCCGTTGTCCTGAAGAAATCAGCAGCAAAACTGATAAGGGTGGGTGGAGCTTCCTTCAAGCCCTTTCCAATGTCCACCATGGCGGCCTCAAAGAGCCATGGGAGAAGGAAAGCATCTATGTCCATCCACAAGCCAAACGCTCTTCATTGATACTTAGCGAGAAAAGCCTCCAACTTTGCACTGAGAATCTGGGGAACGAGACAGGCACCGACATTGTTGGGAATAGCATTGACTTGCTGTGTTCATCGTGTTCGTCGTCGGAGCACGGCAGTGCCGGAGATTCTCAGACAGTGGAGCAAACAAGGGCAGCGCGTCCTGTTTTGGGAGGTAAGAAAACGAAAACCCAGAATTTTCCGCCTCCTTTGACGACCATAAGGGGTTCGGAATCTCTGCGTGTAAGGCCCCACCGCGAAGAAGGTCGACTGGTGATTGAGGCGGTGAGGGTCCCATTAAGTGCTACGTGTTTCAAAGCGGAGAGAAGCCATGGCCGCCTTCGCCTCCGCCTTTTGGAAAATGAGAGCACAAGCTTTGACTCGGAAGATGGTGACGCAGATGAAATAGAAGAGGTTGAAAGCGAAATGAAGGAGGAAGAAGTAGAGGATGAGGAGGAGGAGGAGGAAAGAGATGGAAGGATAGAGGGGTTGAGAGGGTACGATATGCCGAGGAGGTGCAAAGAGGGAGAGTGTGAAAATAATGAAATGTTAATTTTCGAGTCTCTTTGGGTGACCACTTAAAGCTGTGTTTTGTATTTCCGTGTGATAATAATAAAATAGATTCGGTCTCATTTTTCCCCTTCATCTTGAGGTTTTCATACAAGCTATGGTTGTGGTCGGTAGTTATTATCGTTACTCTCTCTTCCTCTCTATTTCTCTGTAAATATATCTACGTCTTTCTTGGAAGCTAGCAATCCCCAACATGCTTAATAACAGACACTGTACATTGTGCAAACATCTGAAGTGGGTGAAAACACATATACTACGATAGACATGTACTAATTAATCAGAGATGTCGTGTTTAAATCCTAAATATGTAATTGCATTGGAAACATGTTGGGAGAGTTTGATACCCGCCAGAGTCATACGTTACTTAATCCAAATTAGTTGAATCCTAAAAGACTCTAAATATTAGGTTCTACTAATATGCATTCATACATATATATATATATATCATCATGATTATAAAAATTAGAAGGGCTATTGTAGGCTTATTATTCATCCCTCGTCTCTTCTTTGTCTGCATATTCGTTCATATAAGAAAAAGGGGACATATATGACGATGTGCATATGCTCTATTTTGAAAAAAGGGCCAAAATCTTGAGGAAGGGGTTGTGTGGAAAATTTGCCAAGAATGAGCAAATACAAAATACTCAACCATCGCAATCATTATAAAATATAAAATATAAAATACATAACAGATACTCAAATGCAACTTATTCCTTAAAAAATTTTATATAGCATATAAACAAAGTTTATCTAATTATGATTAAATCTAAGGGATGCTGAAGTATCTCTAAACAGAGATGAACAAGTAATTGTGCAGAATTTCAAGCTTAAACAATGAATTGCAAAATAGTGAAATAACTAGCCAACAATCTAAGATACTCCTCCGGTCCTTAATATAGGACCCAATTATTGAGTTAGTTTTAGTCCTAAGTATAAGACTCATTTATCATATTTATTAATTTTTTCTAAATTATCCCTATAGATACTTCTTCAACCATAATCAAGTAGAAGAGGGAGAGGGGGTATTAAGAAAGATGATTATGGTATTTTAAGAAAAACGTGTCACATTTCTTATAATTAACTAACTTATCTAACTTTCTTAATCTAATCAAATTAATTAAATGGATCTTATATTAAGAACCGGAAGAGTACTTGGCTGTGGCTAAAATGCCTGATTTTTAGCGCGCAAATAAGAGTTGTTGGCGGGAAACTTTAATTATTATAGATATGATGGGTTGTTGAAAGTAGACTTTTTTAGTTTTTTTCAACTTATTTCGATTAGTTTATATATCAAGTTAAGAAAAGCTTTTTTGCCAACAATTATGTGTAGATTAAAGTTTTCTCAACAACTCTCATAATTTAACCAGAATCAGTTTTTATTAAATTTAAACAAACAGCCCTGATTTTAAACTAAATCTCCCATGCACCCATGGCCTTAAAAAAAAAAAGAAAAGAAGCATTAATGAATGAATGGATCGAAGATATTCCAGGCATTACTTGCTTATTTTATATATATCACTGGGCTATATGTATAACCTGATTATTATAATACTCCTCCGATTCTTAATATAGGACCTAATTGTTGAATTAGTTTTGGTCCTAAATATAAGACTCATTCTTATATTTTTCAATTTTCTCTAAATTACCCCATGGATAATCCTTCAACCATAATCAAATAGAAGAGGGAGATGGATATTAAGAAAGATGATTATGGTGTTTTAAGAAAAATGTGTCATTTTTCTTATAATTAACTAATTTACCTAACTTCCTTAATCTAATTAAATTAGTTAAATGGGTCTTATATTAAGGACCGGAGGAGTATTCTATAGTTTTCATCATAGGACCGCTTCCCAATTTTTGGATAAGCCTAATTACATATACTAACACAAGTTGGTTTCAAGTTTGCGTTGAGTTGTTAAAATTGTAAATGATCCACTTCGCCTGTAATTTAATTTCCAGGGACCATCCTGGTATTATAAAGGCAGTGTTTGGTAGAATTATAAAAGCATCACACCCATAAAGGTTCTTGCTCATCTCATCTTCGATTGACATCTTCTGGTCTTTCAAAAAGAGCAGTCTGGAATATGCTTAATCCGTTGATGACTTTGTTGATAATGTTTTTATGGGTTTTACGTATTTCCCAAAAGAAAAAGAAAATAATTAATACACATTACCAAAACAACAGAAAACGTTAACTCTTTGGATATATAAGTGAATTTCCTTATAAATCATGAAAAACCAGTGTTATCAATATAAATATTAAATCTAACGGCATGTGGAGAAAATAATATGGGTTATTCTTATTTTTTGATGCAACAATACTTTAATATAAATTTCCCCATTAGTACTAATAATACTTTAAAAACGTGTCTCTATATATACTATCTCTGGTCTTTAATATAACAGCTAGTTTGGTTTTTAATTTAGTCATAAATATAAAACTCAAATCTATTTTGTCTCTCATATTACATCTGGTCCTCAATATAAAAATTAGTTTGGTTTTTAATTTAGTCATAAATATAAGACTCAAATCTATTTAGTCTCCTATATTTATTTATTTTTTAGGATAATTTTTTTACTAATTGTACATGTTAAAGGTTTCATACGTGCTTATTACAAATAACTAACTTCATTGTTTTTATTAATATATTCAAATTAGTCAATTAACTTTTATATTAAGTACTGTACATAGTAATATACAATAAAATTTACATGTAATCATATGTTTGTAAGTATTCACTTTTTCTGAGATTGGGTCTACCTACTTTAGTTTTGCTTAAAGAGCAATTCTTTTACGCGTTTACACAGATAAATATATGCGCGCGCGCACACACACACTGTGATGTATACGTGCACAATGATTCATTAATTGAAACTAAAATTACAACATGCCGAAAACAGTAATTAGATCCAGTGTGAGGAATTTAATTTCCACTAAACAAAGTTAATAATCCAAGTTTTTTGGATGAAAAAAAAAATTATATTGGGAGATGTTATCCTTAAGAAATTTCAAAATACTTGAATTTTGTTCAGTTTTTTATACCATTTATTTGCGTTGAAATTCAATTCAACTTTAATGGCCGCATGTAAATATATATGCCCATACAAGTCACATGTGGGCAGACAAATTTGTTCAATATACTCCTCCGGTTCTTAATATAGGACCCAATTATTGAGTTGGTTTTGGTTTTAAATATAAGATCCATTTTTCATATTTATCAATTTTCTTTAAATTATCCCCATGGATACTCTTTCAACCATAATCAAGTAGAAGAGGAAGAGAGAGTATTAAGAAAGATGATTACGATATTTTAGAAAAAACGTGTCACATTTCTTATAATTAACTAACTTGCATAACTTTCTTAATATAATCAAATTAGTTAAATGTGTCTTATATTAAAGACCGGAGAGGTAATTTGTTAAATATGTCTTATATTAAGGACCGGAGAAGTAATATCCAATTCTGAAGGGGAAAGATTGATAATTGTCAGGAACAAGATTTGATTCTTCAGAATAAATTCAAATCTGCAGTTTGTACGGCTTTCACAACACCTCTTTTTTTCTTTTGGGTTCTCTCTCTATTTCAATAAAAATGGATTGAGATTTGGTATAGATTGAGATCAGATTCCTTCATTATTGACCAAATGTAAGCAATTTAGGGGGAAAAGGATGACTTTTTCTTCCTATAGTTAAACAAGACATATGTATAGTAGTTAACTCTATGAAAAGCATCCAAATTCCAGCCTACTAGCTTTCCCTAATATTGCCTTGCTTGGAGAAATTTATGTTGGCTGCACAAATACATAAATTTCAGCAATGAAGATTGAAAGCTTTAAATGCACCAGAAGATCGTACCCTTCTGGAGACCACTCAGTGCAAAGGAAAGCAATAACGGTACAAAATTCAGGACTAGCTAAAAATGTTGTACACAAGAATAAATCCACAAAAGGATTCGTATCTGTGTCGTACCACTGTGGGGGGACCAACGTATCTGTGACTCTGTTCCAAAGTCCAAAGCGAAATCATAAAATTCTATCTTTACATGTAATGGAACGTCCTTGATCAACTTTCGAGTCTTAGAGTCTGCCCACTTATGGTCCTCTTTGTCGATGGTCTCTCTCTCTCCATATATATAAAGAATGGATCAGAATGCTTGTAATAACAAAGTTACAATTTTGGCAAACATTCATATGCAATATGCATTACTTCTTTCTATTTTTATCACTAAATCAAAACTCATAATATCACCTACATTATCTGCATTTCAATACCAACTGTACCTGCAATTCTACATTCACTACTCATCATACTTTCCCTATTTGGACCATGATTAATTCACTCTGAATCATAGCATCCTTTTTCTGCTTTTTTGACAAATTTATTGGCTCAAGAAAAGTGTGTGTACGCATTGTATCAAATTTAAGTTCTAAAATACCTTTTTGGTCCTATTTATAAAGTATATTTAGTATGTTTCAGGCAAAAAAAAAATCTTAAAATTTATTAACTCTTCATTAAAATATAACCACTTTTTAACTTTATTTTTATTTAATATATATGCTTTTAAAAAAATTATCTATATTATAATAAATGAAGGATAAAATATTATATTCGTGCTAAAAATTTAATGAAATAATTTATAAATAGAAGTAATAAAGATATTCTCTCTTTACTCTATAAATAGAACCTGAGGAGTATTTTAATGACAAATCTAGGAGTGGCATTACTAGCTACTGTCAACTGGATAATCTCCATTTTTAAGTCGCAGCTCTAAATTTAAGGTCTCTAAATTTCTTTTGAAATTCCAGAGCAGGGATATAACAAAAAGTTCTACAACTGCTGATGCCATATATGAAAAGGCAGACACAATGCAAAAGAAAAATTTTGTGGGCTTAAGAATCTGCTGAATAGATTCTCGGTTTTTATTTCTTTTCTTCATATGATTTTTTTTATTTTTCAATAAAGCAAAGGCATTCAGTCAATGCAGTCCACGAAATCATTGGATTTGATCATTT